CAGGCTGACTCTGGATTCATGTCATGTTACAAGGGTTGTATCAGGCGCAGGAGACTCTGGTAATCAAGTTTGAGCTGCCCTTCGTATTGGAAGAAATTACACAGATCAGATGCATGCTCAATGTCCAACATACTGATGTTTATAGCCGGAACCACTGTTCTCACATGCGAACAATGCTGTGTGTATAGAATCAGCCTTACAATGTGTGGGAGGTGAGGCAAACTGAGGATTTAAGTCGTGTTCAATACTACTGCTATTAACACAGCGGTTAGACTTGCACAGGTTTCTAAGGTAAAACAATAATAGTTTGCAAACATAATAAATAACAGACTGGGGTCCTTACTGTCCGCTTATCTAGACTTGCCTCTTCGAAGGATAGAATTACTAAACATCCATGGGCTTAGCATTCAGTACAGCCTTAATTGGAGCAAGGTTACGCAGCGATGTGCATGCATGGGTGTCAGAGTGTGAGTGATTGCGTGCCTGTGTGAGTGTGTGTGAGATTGTGCTAGTCTAGTCTGATGCCCCTAATACAGTCTTAGCCCACTGAGATACATTGCAATGAACGAACTGCCATGAGGCAGGGAAACAAAATACCATCTTTTAACACCTTTCGGTATGCCGCCGATGGGGAGCTGGCTGGCCCACTAAACCATGGAGGTGGTGCATGATATATTGCCAACTTATTCAACTAATTCAGATTGTATGAGCATTCAGGAATTTTCATCCATAAGTAGTACATCATGCCTATCCATACACACCACAGACTATTAAAATGACAACTGATCGAGAAAGGCAGTGGACGATCAAGTTGTTACAACCTAGATAGTGTTCAAGTATTCGGATGGTGCTACCAATGTATGCATCGATCACTGCTAACCTAACCAATAATCAAGAACAAGGTTGTACTACCACGTCTTGGCATCAACTGATCTGAAAGTGGCGGACAGAAACCAACACGATAAATAGCCACCCAAATGTGAAAAAAATATTCTTAATGATCATTGATAAGAGACTTTAAAAGTCGCTAAAATTGGACCCAAAAAGTTCTTTGGGAACGTTCCGACCTTTTTGTCATTTCCTAATGCGCTCTGACGTTAATGTGCTTGGGAGCTCGGCCTGGCCTGAAAGTTAGGGAGCAGGCTTTCCTGTTTTCCGTCTCGTCCAGTGTAAATTTGATCGTCGGCACCAGGCTGAACAAGACGAGAAAGTTAACTCCCAAAATGCCTTTGTGGTCTTCTTCGTCACTTGTAGATTGATTAAATACATATGGACGTTGGCAGACGTCTGTGTACCTGGAACAAGTTCTTGGTAGAAACTCCAACACTGGAAGGACTAATGAGTATCCAGGTTAAAAACAAGAGTCATCAGAAGATGACAAATCCCCGGCCCCCATAAATTTGAAAGAACAAATCAACTGACAGTTACTTAAAGTCCAACTTGGGTTTTTTTTGGACTAGGTCCAAATTGTTTCCATGGAAATCAGGAAAATTAAAATGCCAAAAATCGGCAAATAGCAAAAGGCACCACTTTAGGTTCTGTTTGATATAACTACCAATTTTTGCTGAAAAATATTGATCGGTTTACGAGTTGTGCTCCGAAAACGAAGGCCATCTCTCCCTTTTAAGTCCGACTCGTTTCCATGGAAACCGGGAAAAATACAAATGCCAAAAATCTGCAAATATCAAAAGGAACCACTCTGGGGTCTGCCTCACATATCTGCCAAGTCTTACTGAACGATATTGAACGGTTTTCGACTTGTGCTTCGGAAACGAAGCTCACCCCTCTCTTTTGAGACTATGTTCGACACGTTTCCATGGAAACCGGGGAAAATAAAAATGCTAAAAATGTGTAAATAGCAAAAGGCACCACTTTGGGATCTGCCTCACATATCTGCTAAGTTTTGCTGAAAGATATTGAGCAGTTTTTGAGTTGTGCTCTGGAAACGAAGCCCACCCATCCCTTTTGAGACGAAGTCCGAATCGTTTCCATGGAAACCAAGAAAAATATAAATGCCAAAAATCTGCAAATAGCAAAAGGCACCACTTTAGGTTCTGTTTGATATAACTACCAATTTTTGCTGAAAAATACTGATCGGTTATACTTATAATGTGGTTGATTGTCGTATATTATCCTATAGCAGATTGTATATAAAACATCTTACTGATGCAATCTTCCTTGGGGTATTACTAATCTAAAGTAATGTCCGATAGCATAATGTGTTAATAGGGTTTCTTGTCATTATGTGGCCGAGACATTGACGAAACCACGTTAACGTTTAATTCCGGTAGGATGTATCAGTTCTAAGTAGATTCAAGCCACAGTGACAATTAGTGCAGTAACATATGGTTTAAGTAACGTGTTCTCAAGATATTACAATAAATCAGGGTTGTTTTAAGTCACACCTTGTTCTATGCCAGTTAGGAATAACAAAAACAGACCTGACACACTCTATCCGTGTGGGGAATCGAACCTGAGTCTTCAGCGTGATAAGTGAGCAACTTGTACTAACCATTCCCTTTTCCCAAACAAACCTCCCCACCCCCCCACCCTCACACACACACACACACACACCACTCACAAACGTCTGAGCGAGGCGTTAAACGACCAACAAATAAACAGTATGAAAGCGTGTCATCCATTCAAGTAACGAGCATTCAATAAGCTGTTACTTACGGTACTTAGGCTAATAGCGTCGCCATACGTGATGCGTTATTCCCGGGCTTTGTAGAGAACCGATACGTATGTACGTAATCCACTCTAACAGATCCACGCATTGAAACATGAACAGCCTCAATGCACTTCATCCTAATCAACACTCATAAATACCCCAAGTCTAACTAATCTTTCAAAATTCACAGAGCACACAAACCCACAGAGAAATTTAAAGCGCGTTTCAGTTATCAAAGCGACTGAAGTCAATTCCAACATGGGCGATGTCAACACAGCAAGTGACGCTCATTCATCTTACAGTTTCAATAACATGACCATCATTGTTGCACAATACCTAACTTGATCAGATCGGTATTACCATTCTACCAACGTCTTGCTACATAATGCAGTTTCTCACTCCAAACTGAAAAAGGCCATAATGAATAGACGCTTTCTAATAAGCAATATTGCTCTAAGGCAATGGAAAACAACATCAAAGGAGTCTCCTGAAGCAGGCGCTTCATCCCCCATCACAGCCATCAACGATAACCCAAATGAAAGAAACCATTGAAATCCCAATCCTCTGATCGATGATGGTGACATAGAACAGATTATTCCATTGGATGATGTGAGATGATAGTATGTTTCTATGATCAATAAGCTTTAATCTGATTGGACAAGCAAACATCACAAGGGAGAGAACATCATCGACGCCATAGTTAGGTGTATCCCATGGTGCACTTGGAGAGAATACTGTAGACAGGTCTCGAGACAAGGGACTGTTCTTGTATTTCCAAAAATACTTAGGTGATGAATTGTTCCAATACCTATCCTGTTGGTCCGACGTATTTCTCCCAGATGAATACAAGTAGAATATTTGTTGTCTGAAGGTCGTTGCTTTGACATGTATTGAATGTTAAGTGTATTTGTAACGTGTTTGGACGAAATAATGCTTCAGATATTAAACTGGTACAATATTTATGACGCAGCTTACACCACTTACAGCTTTCTTACGAACTTTGCCTGGTAATACATCATTCACAAATAAGTCCCCATTTTCATACAGTTTCACTCATTACAATCCATAAACATCGAAATACCGTGTTAGACTCATTTGTTATGTACAATTTACCATATCCTGGTGTCATGTATGAAATATGTCTTCATTTCTTTGCAGCGTCTTTCTTACTGCGAGAGATACTCACCCACAATAGAAAGCAACGCTATTTCTCTTAACGTATACTGGACAAAAATAGTAAGGGATATATGTAAATTTTGAAATTATGAAAAACGATCTATTTATTAATTGACACACTGATAAAATATCAATCATAAAAATACCAATATCCCTAACTTATTTTGTCCAGTATATATTGTCCTGGATGGAGTGGGTGAGTTTAGTTTTATGCCAGACTCAGCAATATTCCAGCTGTATGGCGGCGGTCTGAAAATAATTGCATCTGGACCAGACAATCCAGTGGTGAACAGATTGAGCATTGGGTTAGGATGACATGTCAACCAAGTCAGCGAGCCTGATCACCCAATCTCGTTAGTCAAGCATGGGTTACTGAAGACCAATTCTAATCCCGATCTTCACCGGTCATCCTGTATAGAACATATGGTCTATGTGTTATTTTGACTGATAAAGTGTCACAAACGGCCTTCTTCCCTTTTCTTTGTTAGGTTAATATCGATATACTTTGACATTTGTTGATTCGTTGTCACGGGAAAATGGAAAGCTATTTTTTCACGTGCAAGTAACAAAATTTGTCTCAAGTGTCTTGGGCGAAATCATGACGCCAGTTGATTTTTTTTTAAAATGACGAGACGCGGGAAACGTAATCGAATCAATATATATTACCAAAATCGTGATCGAATCAATATTGTAAGAAATAACGCTATAAGTATACATGAAGTCGTTGAATTGCAAGAACACGTTTCAAGTCTGTTCAGCCCCACATAAAACAACATTTGGGCACGATATTGGCAACCTGGTACCACAAGTATAGATAGATCTTCCACAGGTTCTATCCATCTGGGTTAGTGGTTAGAGCGTCCGCCCGGAGAGCGGAAGGTCGCGGGTTCGATCCCCGACCGCGTCATACCAAAAGACGTTAAAATATGGTACTTGTTGGTCCCTGCCTGGCGCTCGGCATTAATGGGTACAACAAAGACTGGTCGGCTCGGAGTCAGTATAATGTGTCTGAGTGGGGTATTCATGCTTCACTGCGGTATGGTATCTCAGTGGGCTAGCACTATAAAACCAGCTTAAGTCTGGGCTAGTACAGCAGCCGCACAGACACATACACACGCATGCACGTCGTCATATGAGCGACATATTTTCAAGCACGACGTTAAACCCAATTTCACCTCACCTCACCTCACCTGTCCATCCCTATTACTACAACATGACAGGATCGTTACGCGAGCTCTTCGAAAAAGGACACCCTTAGTCTGTCATAAAGACCCTGAAGCAAATATATAAGAAAGCCCATGCAAGTCTAGAAAATGTGGTAAGTCTAGATTTCCACAGCTTCAGGAAATGAATAAAGTCTCAGGGCTCCTTTTCATTATATTTTATCATTTTTACTATGAGCTTTTTTCTGTAACATATGTTGATTTCAGGAACTAGTTGTAAGTCTAAGACACCCTCTGTAACGTACACTGAAACACAAATTTCTGGTTCGGGACAAATTGTTCGTCACCGTTTCCAGTTGCCTGTATGCCAGCAGGATGACGTCACGTTAGCGTTGTGCATGTTGTACATCATCCTAAATCTATTCTAACTGCAGAAGTGATGACGATTAATTTAACAGAGAAGGCTCTGAGGTGAACAAGCACAAAAGAAACACAATTCCCTTCATTATAGATATGTGTAGTTAATGTAGGTGCTTAATACGAAAGACATTAATTTCAGGGTCATCCTTACCGCCAGAAAAGAAAATGGCAATTGGAATAAATTAACAGTCAATGTATGATTAAAAATCAATTTGAACATTAAATTCTTCACATTTTCAATGAAGTATGTTAGTGTATGATACAGATTTTGTCTGATGTTGACCCGTGAGGCCAAGAAGGTCATGAAAGCTGTTATGAACGTTATAGATAGTAATGTCGACACTTTCAAGAGTTGACATGTACTCATTCCACAGAAAATGGTATCCTTCCCAAAACATATCTGTACAAAAAATAATAAAACACCTGAATCAAGTTTAACAGATATCCAACACCTCGGCAATATAATTTATTCTGAATGCATCTGGGTAATCAAGCCTTTCAGTATCGTGTGATATGTGATTTATCGCTTACAAACCGTAAAAGGAAGAGAAACAGAACATATCCTTGTGAGAGACCATATTTTGATGCAGAGTGAGTGGGTGAGTGTGGTTTAACGCCGTTTTTAACAAAATTCCAGCACTACCACTACCAAAATGGGCTTCACACATTGTACCTATGTGGAGAATCGAACCCGTGACGAGCGGACGCGTTAACCACTGGGCTACCCCACCGCCCCTTTTGATGAAGATACATCGTAAGAGCTAGGTAAAAGCACAGCAGAGGGATGGTATGGAGTAATGAACAACAGATTGTGAGGTAACACGAGAGATCTGCGAAGGCTGCACTGCATGGAAGGCAGTGAGTATCACGTGGAGGGAGACATACTGGGGATGACATACCAAGAAGGTATGCCACAACCTGTGTACGTCCAACTACAGCCCGGAGTAGGTGAAAGCGGAGGCTTTTCTTATGTTATTGCACTTAGGGAACGACCGTTTCATATTTCGTTTGTGTGTGCGTGCGTGTGACTGTGTCGCCATGTGGGTGTTTGTCTGTCTGCTTGTGTGTATGTGAGTCATTCTGTGTGCATGTGGGTCAATCTGTGTGTGCATGTGGGTCAGTCGTGGTGTGTTTGCATCTGCATGTGCGTGCTTGTGTGTGTATGGCTGTCTGCATGTGTGTCAGTCTATGTGTGTGCTTCTGTGTCAATCAGTCCCCCCCCCTCTCTCTCTCTCTCTCTCTTACCCCGTCCCTCACACGCTCTGTGTCACCGTTATGTTTGGGGTTTTCCTCCTATATATTTCATTCTGGGATTCCATTTGGTACAGTAACAATCTAAACGGTGAGAACGAACACTGATATACATCGCACGTAGCTATAACACAGTATTGGAAAAATAGCATGGCTAATGCTGAATCCAAGTGTTGGCATACTAAATGTCAATAGACGAGTCAATGGGGAGTCAAAATGTTCGACATGTTTTTGAATTCTCAATTTATATACCAAGCGTTTCTCTATGTTTATATTGGGAAGCACCCATACCATTCATTGGACACTTTTAAATTACTCTTCATTGCAATAATATGTCAAAGTGCTTACTCGCCATGCTATATCATTTAACTCCAAGTCGTTTGACCAGTATTGCACTGGCATGGCGTTCTACAATTTCAAAGTGAGGACTGACAGCTCGCTATAACTAGCTCATGGGCACTCGATTTACGTGAAAGCCGTAAAACAATAAAGTGGTTGCACTGCTGTAGGTTAACTGTCGTTGAGACATCCCCCGTCACTTGTGCCACGATCAGTACCGTTGCTAGAAGTTACGAGCGTCAGTTGGACAGTTTTGAGAGATTAGTGAATACGCTCAAGCAATGACACGGCAGGGAATACTAATTTTGACCTAAACGAATAGTGCCGTTCATGGGAAACGAACCTAGGTCATCGACAAACTCACGATCCATATAGTCGACCACATGGATCACTCGGGACGGGATCAAGCCCCGATTCCCAACACGTCCACCTACATTAGAGTACGTGTATGAGCCAGTGGTGTAAAGTATGATACTGTTTCTCACGCACGTAAATCCCAGGGAATAATAGATACCCAAATGGGGAACCACGTGGTTCGAAAAACGACCTTGGCATTGATTATTCGTGCCGAGACGTATTGTCTCAATTACTGTCTATCTGTTCAATATAATTGTGAAGTGTGTACATCTCGTTGTGACCAGGTTGTAACCCCACTGACAGCAGTACACCGCTATATCCACTCAATTAAAGGTTGGCAATACACATGCACTTACAGCACAAAACTAATATCCTATAAGTAAAAAAAGCCACGGATTCCGTGGAATTATCTGAGTCACGATGAATGTGTACTTGTATTGATTCGGGCTGAAACAGATCGCGATTAAACATGCCGCTCGTTGGAGGCAACTTAATGGAGTAAGTCAGTGAGTGTGGTTTTACGCCGCTTTTATCAATATTCACGAGATGGTGAGGAGCACCAGAAATGGGTTTCACACATTGCAACCTTGCGGGATGTTATAGTCACAGGACTGATCCTACCGGGTACCCATTTTCTGTTGTGTGAACAGAGGCAATTTTGAACAAACTCTCTTGCCTCACGTAAGATATCATCACATGTATCACACGTGCTTCGTTGTGGTGCAGGACTGAAGTCCTAGAAACTCTCAGGAGTCTAGCTGCCAAACACGGTTACCCATCCAAGGATTCTCCTGATTTATGACCAAAGCTCTATGCACAGGACGGGGCGGTGGGTAACCTAATAACGTTGGCTCGTCACCTGGTGTTAATATTGCTACGGCGTAAAACCAAACTCTATGCACAAGACCACACACCACCACACTATGACTAATACATACAAACCGAATACATTTTGGTCATCGTGACATAGATGTCAGTAGTATTGAACAAAACATGCTGTAGTAAGACAATTACTACCATTTATTTCAAAGCTTTTCCAATTGAAAACTGATATAGGGCAGAACACATATAGACACAGATATGGAACTGTCAACTATCACCTTTTCAATGTAAGTGGATATTAAAGCGGTTATATACATTCTCGTATTCATATATGTACATACGTAAGCAGCATATGACTCACTGGAATGCACTTACGTATATATAAGCATTTGTGTGTGTATATAAGTATCCCAGAAACGTTTGTGAGTGATACCACACAGTTATCGACCTAGTTCTCTGCGGGCCCTTAATACAATCTTGTAAACAGCTACCTAATTCCCAGACTATACACACTACAGGGCGACGCCAGCTAATTTGGGCAAGAGTAAATTGGGCAACTGAAATACATGAATATATTCGACACACAAACTGGTTGCCGTATCAGCAATTTCATGAAGAATTGATTTATTAACAAACAGCCATAGGGTACACCCGTACTATTTATGGCGCGCTGGTTCACAATTAAACCACCACAGATGACCAGTTTCTGGTCTCAGTGACCAAAGACGGAATGACCATGGAACTGAAATAGCGGTGCATGCCATATGTTGACAGTCGGTATTATTCAGGAAGTGTAGCACCATCCATTCCAGCCGCGTCGCTATCCACCATCAGCGTCTGTTAGGCATCAATGCCTTGAATAGAAATACTGGGGTGTGAATGGGTATCATACGTTGAGGAAACTGACTTCTCCATCGCCTGTCTCGGATGTGATGGATGACGAAGCTGGATCCAAGCTGCCTGTATCACCCCGCTTCCTTGGAAAAGACGATTGTGATGCAGGCTATAAGAGATTCTACTCCTGGTGATCGAATAAGTCATTATAGATAAGGACTTTTTTCAGACAGACTTTCGTGTTGCTGTATATTTCTGTATTAGCCGATACACCTCTTAACGCTCTTGCGATGAAATCCGACAGTGCTTACTGCGTCCTACCGAGAGGGGTCTTAAGTGCACACTACCGGAATTACAAGTGCAATATGTCACTTTTTTCGAAATGAGACTAAAAAAATGTCTAGACCGAAAGCCATTACATGGATGATGATTGTGTTTTGTGTTAAAAGCATTGCTTTTTAAATGATTGCTATAGAAATAGATCTATATAAGAAAAACAGAACAACACAGGGCAGCTGTATTAACACAATATGAATGTTTGGGAACGGATCTAAACACTTAATGTCTCAATTACACTGTATATTTAAGAACCGTACGCTGACGTCAATAACGACTAGTGGTTGAGCTTTAGACAGTTTATCTACACATACAGTGTGTGGGAGGACATTCCGGTGCGAAGTACGGCTTAGAAGTTTATCACCTTGCTGAAACACGAGCACTGGTACAGTGCTGGCAAACCAATAAACATAACCAGGACCCACGATCACAGGATTCTGGCACGGATAAGGGATATAACTCTGTATAGGAAATCGCGGCGGCTACCACTTAACTGATGAAACAATTAAAAACATACATTTAAATATATAGGGGTGTATATTTATCGATTGATTTTAGATCGAGAGTGATTCACTGAAAGAAATATAACATCAATACACCGCCACTTTAATCAATCAAAAATGTTACTACTGCACATTATTGTTCACGGGTATAAATAATAAATGCTACTGTCAGAAGTAGAAAGATGGATTGCACATTTCGCAAAAGATCTAGATGGAAATATTTCTTTACATCTAATAATTCACAGTTAGGAACATTATACAAGCATTATACATGACAGAGAAGCAATTACCACCAGCACATGGCCGGGGCTCCCCAGTGACTAATGACCAAACCATGTTATATGGTTAAAGTAATACATGTATAAACGCCCTCAGACGCTTCCCAGTGATAGGTGAGGAATCCCGTACCTCGGTTACTTTGCTCTGAATAATTGCCGAAGTGGGATTTACCTTGACAGTAGCACGAGTGATTAATCAGAGCTGAAACTGATTACTCGTAGGACGTCTCATAAGTGATCATATCTTTCTTCGGCGGTCACACATTTGCATCTAATTTCCACACGTTCACAGATATTGGACACAGGCTCACATATGTCGTATAGACAGTATGGCTGGACTGCATGTGCCCTATATTCACGTGTGGTTACCCCGATGCACTCTCTCCGTGACATCGTTGGTAGTTTAATGTGTATGGTATCAATTCGTCGGTTTGAGAATTACCCCAGCTGGCTCGTTATGCTTCCCTTGGTGACATTCATAGAACGCAATGTAACGGCATGGTTGGATAAAATCCCTGCACAGTATCCCCTACAATGAGTACAAAGTAGTTATTGATCAATAGCTCAAAGATCTAGCAATAATGTGTACATTAACAAAGCTTCGTGTCGTATTAAAGACTTGAAATATGGATTGACAATGAAGTTGACCGTAACATTGCTTTTTCTGAAATTTCACTCTCCATTGTGTCCGACATGTTCATCTCAGATACTCGTGGCATATGTTTAGTACACTACGATTATAACGAACACGTTTATAACGAATGTTGGATATACCGAACTGTATCCTTTGTCCCGGTAACTTGCGGTGTATTTCATTGGTTGGTTGGTTTGTTGGTGGTTTAACGCCGCACTCAGCAATATTCCAGCGGTTTGTGAATAATCGGACCAGAAACCCAGTAATCAGTCAAAATGCGGTTACTATAACGAAGTAGAAAAATAGGTGCTCGAAGTTCGATATAACCGTAGTTCACTGTATAATATGTATATTTTCTCCTCATCACACTGCCACCCGTTGAAACTCCTGATCGTAAGTGAGTGCCTATGGGAAACGTAAATAATCTAACCTTGACTAGCCAAGTCAGAGTTTGAAATAGCAAGCGGTGATACATGCCGCCGAACGTGATAGCTCAATCAGACATTGTAACCATCCGATACTCATTAGTAGTAATAATTTGCTATGCTATTCATTGTTAGTGCTATGAGCATACCTGGTGTGGAGTTGGAGGCTGTTAGACACATTTTTAGTAAGTGCTGGGCAATTATTTCACCATCTTGACGACTGACAAAAAGAAATGATGTCCACAGACCTCCTATGAGTTATTTACTCGCCTTTATTGACATGATTCAATCATTTGATACATAGTGCTGCTTTCCGGTTCTGTAAACTCGCAGATACTTTAAGTCGGGTCGTTGTGACACGAGGTCTGCCTGTTCATTCTTTAATACATTTATCATTGAAAACTAAATTTATCATGCAAAACCTAAGTGTGATATCAATACGTACAAAAGTTCCAAATCAGGTGATGTATTCATGGATTTTTCCTTCCTCGATATTCAAGGGAATTACATGTACTATCAATTAGATCCTAGATCAACACGCTGCGTCAGTTCCAGTTCAAGCCTGATTCAAATGACGCGAATGCACGAAACACATTAATCGCATTAGCAAGACTGACTGACTGACTGAATTTGGTTTTACGCCACTTTTAGCAATATTCCAGCAACATCACGGCGGGGCACACCAGAAATGGGCTTAACACATTGTACCCATGTGGGGATTCGAAAGAGAAATTCAGAATAAGTGCTGAGTAAGAAATGGGATACACTGTACTTGTGACGTCAGTTTACTAACGGAACATTGTTGGAGTATGGGTCCAAGAGATGCATCACAGTGGAACTGGTGGCCTAGAACCCTGGATTGACGAGGATGAAGGTTTATTGAGATCAAAAATAGAATCAGAACTAGCAAATGCATTTTGTATCAAGCTTGACATTGACCAACATTTAAATAATATAGAATGAAAATTGGAAGGTTATGTCGACACTACTTTGAATTTTCGACAAACACTTTTTTCGACAAGAACTTGTTTTGAACAAGCACTAAACCTGTTACACTGAATTGAGGTTCAAAAAAGGAACGTGAACATGAGTGTCGATCAGAGTGAAAACGACTTCGAATAATCGATAATGTATTTTATGAATACACTGCAAAACGCATATCGACCACAACTAATCCTCCCTACCATCAGCACCCACCGACAACACCTCTACGTTAAAGAGGAAACATGTTATTATGTGTTTATAATATGTGGAAACTAATCATATGATAGTTACATCTTTCATCACACACAGTTCGGGAGTCAAACACGATTGAGTTTGCAGCCCTAAATACAGTTACCGCGATGGCGAATTGGCGTGAAGGCAAGATTCCCGCAGTAAGCCAGGGAGTAATTATAGACAAATCTAATTAAGCAATAGCCAAGCTTTGGAACCGCAGACGGGCTGGACAAACATGTTTCACGCATGGGATGA